CATGAAGTATAATGTCTCTTGCTTCTTTTTCTATTCCTTTATTTTTTGCACTGTCCTATATAACAAGAATGTCTGTTACTTTCTAGTAGCAAGAGGAGTCTAAGGTTCACATTCTGAAATAAAGGTTGGTGATTTAGATGTGGAATAAACTATAGCTCTACTCCCAAAACAAGGGAATAATATGGTATAGAGTTTCAATCCATTGGGCTTTCTGCTACTCAACACTGTTATCTATGTGAATGGCTCATCCAAAAACTAGGATCAAGAAAATTTTCTGAATTCCATACTTAAAGATTAAAATGTCTTTTGGAGATTGGTAACTTTTCTATGATGTATCTGGGAACAATACTTTTCTATAATGTCTACAGAAACAGTATACAAAAATTTTTACTGGACATAAGCTAATTTATTTATCACTCCCATTTCTGAATCTTCACTTCATTCATTTTTATTGATTGTCTGAATTTTTGAAGATGTATATGTCTGTTATGTATTAGATACTATAACCAATAGGTAAAACTAAAATATTTTAGCCATTGAAAGGAATTAGGAGAATAAATGGTCCAGATCCAGAGAAGGTGAAAGACACTGGAATATTTGATCACACAGTGTAAATTGTACAGCACCTACTTTATTTTTATCTGATTTGGAATTAAATTTGGACTTAGAGTTTAACCCTAAAGTTTTCTAATCTAAGCAGTATTCTAATAAGTAGACGATGTTAAATTATGTTTTCACTCTTTCTCTAGGCACTGTGAAAGGAAGCTAGGTGAACAAGGCCAAGACTTGGGAGGAAGAGTCAGTTTTGATCCATAATTTTAGGATGGGCCATGATAGCTGGCTCTTTCACCAACTGAATAAAAACGTGCTTTACTAGCTAAGCAGCTATTTTTAAAAGGCAACTGACATTAATTTTCATCTTCCAAATTCCCTCCATAAGCATGTGGTGAAGCGGATCGCCTCATGGCAGCTAGGACTCAGAGAGGGGAAGGGGTCAGATCACAATGTACCCTTCCAGAGCTTGTGCCCCATCACCTGCTTCTCCCAACTGGGCCTCACTTCCAAAGTTTCACCATACCCAGTAGCGCTGCCATCTGAGGGCCAACCCTTCAACATAGGAGGCTTTGGTGGACATTCTCCATCTAAACCATAGGAATAACTAATCTAGCTTTGTAATTTTGTATTCCTTTATAAAGGAAGAACTTGTCCATGAATGGTCCATCTAGTGCTTTATATGTCTGATTCTGATTTCTTTCTTCTTCACATCTTCTTTTTATTGAGTTCAATTGACAAAATCATGTATCTGTAAAATGTACAACATCATGCTTTGCGGTGCTCTTCGTATATTCTTATCTGCTACTGTTTTAACTTTAATAAATAGTAAAATGATATTCAATAGGGAAAAGATTTGGTGTGCCTATTTAGAACCCACCTTAAGGGAAGATCAGCTCTTACCCTGCATTATCTAGTTGTTCAGCCAGGAGGTCCTCACTGTTTTAGGGCTGTTTCTGTCATTACCTAGCATCCCACTAGGCCAGCCTTTCTATTGCTAAGCATCTCCTCAGGAAAGTACCTTCACTTCTCTATTATCTGTAGATTTAAATTATAAGCCCAGCAGGATAGCAACTGCATCTAGTAAATTTTTATCTATTACCTAACATTTCTGTTGGTGTTTAATGCATTTTCCAAATTCTTGTTTGGTATTCAACTTTTTCCATAAATTGAGATTTTATATCACTACAAATATTTTTAAATACCAATATCTAAGGCCTGCTTAGCAGATATGATTTCTTCTTTGGTAGTCTGAAGTCTGAGCAGGGGTCAGAGAATACTAGGAAAGGGCAACTCAGAAGCAACAGAGAAGTAGGTAATGCAAATAAGAGATTCATGATTGCAGAAATATAACTTTGATCTTGAAATTCAGTGGGTGACCTTGGATAAGACCCTGGAGCTCTCTGGGGCTCTAAAATTAAGTCAGTTAGATAGTCCCAAATATTCCAGCACTCTGGTCTTTGATTTTATTTAAAAGAGAGAGGGATACATGTACTTCATAACCGGTTCTAAGGAAAATCGGCATTTTGCTTATCCTATTCTCATTCCATTTCTCAGACTACATAACTGTTTGTAATTCTTTTCTCACTTTTGTCTCTAGCATATAATTTTAAAGTATATTTTTTCAGGAATCCTCAATCTACATAATATTTTTATTATGTCTTTTTTTCCTTGTGTGCCATTTGTTCTTCACGAGTAGATTCATAATTCTTCCTTCACAGATTGTCCACCTTGCTTTGTGAAGGAATCTCCTGCAAAACTTAAGGGACATTGTCATGTGGTGATGCTGGCATTTTCCTTTAACACGCAGTAAGGACAATGCATTTCCAGTGTCACACAATCTAATTTCTATTTTCCTGGATTGAAAAGTCTGCTTTTAAAGCACTACTTTCAGAATGATTCTAAATATAGAAACAAAAACACTTGTATTTTAAATGACCGCTTGAAGGCTGACAAAGTCTAATTCCTACACAAAAGTTGTGTCCTCTCTTCAAATTTATATACACTTTCTTTTCAGATTCCTGGCCTTCTGATTGGTCTCTATTTTCTATCTTCACTTTTAAAATTTTATCTCCTTTGAGCTCCTTAACCCTAACTTCCAACCTCCTGTTTCCTCCTTCTTCCCTAATTTTAGTGTAACGCACACACATCCTTCTACCTTGTCCTCAAGACTCCTTTCCATTACTGAGGGGCAGAGCTAACCCCAGGTGAAACTATAATGAAAAAGTATCCATCTCAGCCCTCTCATTCTGCACTTACAATTATCCTTTCTTCTGTTGCCACCGTCTTCTGCAGGTCTCTTTGGCTCCTCTGATTGGTCTTAATGGATTCAGCTAGGGCCTCTCTAGGTCTCCAAATTCTGATTTTTCTTCTCACCCTACTTCCTAGAATCAGAATTTATTTCGGGCCTCATTTTTTCATGGTACATTTAAGATGTGAGTTATTTTACGTCCCCAAGTGACCTGTCAGCTCAGGTAGCTCCTTGCCCAAGAAAAGTATAATGAGAGGCATTTTAGGGATTTTGACTATGTGGGAGTAATATTATATCATGTAATATATGTTTATACTCTAACGGGAAATGATTACGGAATCATGGTAAAAACACATTTAACATTTTCTGACTTGCATCTCCTCCAAATATATTGACATATCCAACAGAAACTGACTAAAATGGAGAAAAGTCTTGAAGTATCAATGTATGCTTACTTACCTGAAGCTTTTGGAGATCTTTTAAAAAGTTATAAGGAAAGCATAAAATCTCAGCAGCAAATTTATCAACAACAACAATATACTGATTTTCAGTTACTCTATGATCTTTATGTTAACTATTGAATTTTCTCCGCTATTATATGTAAATTTCTTCCCATCTCTCATAGCCCTCTCCTAGATTTCCTTTCACCACTTATCTGAATAAAGTATGACACACACATCCCCCCCCACACACACGCTTCAAGAACTTATATGCCAAATGTTTTACCATTTCTAAAGCACATTGAAATATGTGAGCACATGTAAGTCTAGGTTTGATATTCCAGAGCTGATGCACTTGAAGAACCAGTGCTTGGAGAACTTGTCCTGTGCTACAACAGTCCTGGGAGAACACTAGCAGCAGTGCCAGCCTGATGCTCTGACTATGCCCACATGAACAGGACTCTTTCCCTGCTAAATGCCACCTAGAGCCAATCATGTGATAACTATGGGGAAATTTTCTTTTGTGCCTTTTCCACAGCTAAAGCAAACCAAAATATTAATGATTTTATAATTTTATGTCTGACACACCCATCTGACAGGCAACTTCTAAACTCACAAAGTGTCAGATGCACAAGGTTAAGTAAGCATACATCAGAGCACTATGGAAGGATTCAAGAGCAGCAAGCCGGCCCAGTGAGATGAGGTGCACAGGTGAAATATTGGTTTCTGTGACATGTATTACCTGCATATTTATATTACTCAATGGAGGCTGGGAATTACCTCTACAAGAAGTATGAATGCCTTTTTGACTTCCCTGGTTTTCAAACATTCTTCTGAATATATGACAGTTCAATCCAGTTTTTTCCTGGATCTCTCTGAAGTCTATCTGGTGAGGATCTAATAGCTGCCTTTGTAACTTTCAAAGCAAATATTAATGTAAAGGTGCAAAAAAAGATGCTGCAGTAAGCAAAAAGAAGAAAGACTATGACAGTAAAGTGTATCAATATTCTTAAAATACCATATACATATATATTTATTACTTCTCCCTCTCTCCCTGCCTTTCTCATTTGGCATTTCTAGTAAATGATTTTTTTGGATACAATTCCTTAGAAACATTTCATTTTGGTTTGGTTTCTTGAGACAGAGTAACACTGTGTACTTCAGGATAGCCTAGAATTTACAGTGTGGCCCAGAGGGGCCTGGGACTGCTGGCATTCCTCTTAGCTTGCCTCTCAAGTGCTGGGATTACGGGCATGGGCCACCCTCCCCAGCTCTTAGAAGACTTTTTATACTAACACTTCACATTATTCCTGTTCTATATCTTAACTTTTCAACCAAACTTGGTTTTTCAGTACATTTCCTCCCATTTCAAATGACTTCAAGTGGTACTTTGCTGTCATTCATCCCATTTTAAACTAAATATTTCATTAAGAAAAATTCTGAAAACATTTTGGAATGATCGCAGAATTCAACACCAGCTCCAATTCAGCCTGTAACAAGGAACATCCTTTTCTTTGCCCGGGGCATGTCCTGATTTACTCTTTTAATTTACTGAAATCAAAAGGCTGCTTTGGGGGCATGTTAATACTCGCCCCATTAGCTAAAAGACAGGCAGAAGAATGAATTCTAAATATCTTACTTCCTGCTTTAAGGAAAACCTTTAAATTCATTTCTTTTCCCTTCGCATTAACATCCTGTCTTAGGACTGCCCGGAGAAGTATCCCAAGCCCTGCACTCCCATCCCTTCTTCAACTCACCGGCTGCCTCTTGACACCGAGCCAGTTTTTCCACACCAGGACCCGAAGCTGATGAAACTGGGAAGCCATCCTTCAAGCAACCGGAATGAGAAAATCCTTCTTTTCTCCTCCACTTCTCCAGAGAAGAATCAGCGCCCGGTCCAAATTGCTGTGTGTCAGTGGGCCAGGAGCCTTTTCACGGCATAGCTTTCTTTGAGGCCAGGCCAAAAAACCCACAGTTCTCTTCCTGCTGGGTCTTTCCTTCCAGATAATCCTTGTCCAAGAAGCACTTCTCAACCAACTTTTCCTCCAAGAAGAGGACTCAGGCCAGTGTCTTCTGGTGGCTTGTGCTTATTTTACAATAACATCTCCCTGCTGCATGAAGTCCAGGAGTAAGGAGAATGAGTATCATTCAGATAATGTGCCACTGTAAAAAAAAAAAAAGATGAACACGCACCTCCTACTCTCCATGAAATTAACTGCCTATCCACACCTTAGGGAACCTGTCACCTGCACTAGACACGTCATGAGGAATTAGGTGGGACCCTTGCCAGGCCAGTAGGACTTGTCCTACATTCTCCCGCCTTCTTTTGTGACTCCTTCATAGTGCCTGCTCTAGCAGAGGCAGGGCACAGAGAACATTTCACAGGCTGCAGGCACAGACTCAGGGCCTAGTGACTCTTTTCTAAGGGTCAAGAAGTTTTAAGTCAATAGGCCAAAGTTCAACTGAGAAACTTTAAACCTCAGCCTATAATAGGCATACTATGAAAGTATGAGTCATCATACTTACCTGGCAGAGGACACACCATGGTCACAAAAGTATCAGCCATTAACCTAAAGCTAATGCTTTGATGGGGGTAGGGTAACTATGTTGGCTAGGTCCTAGATTCTATTGAAATTTAGTTGTCTAAATATAACGCAGAACACAAAATGACATACATTGGATTCCCTCATGCTGATAGCTATGGATAAAGGGGACAGGCTAGCCCAGGATATTTTTGCCGTCTCCTCCACCAAGATACCCTTCACCCTCTCCCATCTTCTACCTCTCAGAATTATCTCCAACTTGACATCTTCACGAAGCCCTTTTAGATGTCCTCATATTGTGCTTTTCAATCCAGCACAATTCCTTGTTGCTCTCAAATAACTTACATTTTTCTTTATTGTTTTTTATTGTCCGTCTCATTGTTTTGTCTCATTTCTGTATGACTACTGTGCATCATAATACATAACATACAACTCGTACTTAACAATCACTACTGAATATATCTGAGTAGATTGTTTGAGCCAAGAATGCTTTGGTGACGTTTCAGTTTGATCCTCACACCTTCCCCTGACTGATCCACTTGCAAAATCAGTTAAAGCACTGTTTGAGCTCTCCTCCCAAATCCAGAGTTACTACTGGTTCAGCTGCCTGGTCTCCATGCCAACTATGCAAGGCTGATGGCAACCAGCCTCGGGCTGACTGAAGCCATGATGGTACATGCCCACTTCCTCAGCCTTGACTCCATCCCTGCTATGACAAATCTCTCCAAATCCGGTCCCCATCAGGCAGTCAGTCCTGACTATCTAGAAGGTGACTGTTTAGTTTCTTTCTGGATGAGGTTAAGGACAAGTATTCTTTGGACAAAGGAGGGTCCCTGAAATAATGCTTTCCATCAACACACCTGGGACTTAGTAACTGCGGTTTGTCTTGCTTTCACAATCTGATCTTTAAGGATGACTGCAGCTCCTGACTCCCTGCCTTCTTCTACTGCTGTCACAATCTAAGACTCACTAATGATTCGGTTCACAAATAAACATTACCAGAGTTGTGAGGACAAGGTGGGACCGGGGATGGGAATCTACATGTCGAGGGACATTGCAGGCATAGAGTCACTAGACTTAGTCAGGTTACTTCAGGTCAAAAAGGACTGACTCACCACGTGGCTGGTGCAGCTGAGAGGTCAGCTCTAAATGGGCCACATGGCTTCTCCCAGAAGCTTCTATTACCTCTCCAGGGTAATCACAGAGCTGTGTTTTTCTTGTTGTTGTTGTTTATTTAACTTCAGTTAAGGCTCTCTCAGGCTTTCTTCTTCATCTACTCTCTCCAAATTTCTAATGAAGATAATGTATTTTATTACAACCCATGACTTCCCAGGAGATTTTTTTCTTCAGAGTAATTTCCATGCTATACATTAGGTATTTAATATACATAAGATATTCCTTCATATTTGAAAACACAGTACCATAGGTCCAAATGTTGCTCATTCTTCTTTAGAGACTGAAAAGTCTTTCGTGGAACCTAATTTGAAATAATTTAATTAAGGATACATAGGAAATCAGATTTTTAAAATTTCCCCATTCTGGCTATCTAGATCTCATCATTTATCTAGACTGTATATATTTCTGCTATCTTCTTTAAACTTGCAAATGTATTTTAAGAGAGAATTTTCAGAGCTTTTCTTAAGAGTCATGTCCTAACATTAATCTTGGAAGGTTTACTTATACACATTAGGAATCACAAACTCTGTTAAAAGCAAAACCTGAAGTATTTATTAGGCCAAGCAAAAGTAAATAAGAGAAAGAACGTGCAAGGAGCTGAAGGGTAATGATTGCACAGAGGAAAATCCCAATCTGCAGCAAGTCATTTTAGGATTTTTCCTTGAAGGAAAGAAGACAACTGGTAACCAAAATTCATTTGTACCCAGAATACATAGCTGCTAAAAATTTTTTAACAAGCTAAAAGCTGGGGGCTGGGGATTTAGCTCAGTGGCACAGCGCCTGCCTGGCAAGCGTGAGGTTGTGAGTTCAGTTCCCAGTACCAGGGGGAAAAAAACATAAGCTAAAATCTAAACTGAGGAGCAAATAAACATAGGCAAAATTAAAACAACATATTGCAATAAGAAAAAAAATAGTACCTTGCTTACCAGTAAGCTGTTACAGGTTTTAGTCTTAGAGTTGTACTGAGACATTTCTATACTCTCTCCAGCAAGACCATGGTGACTTGCCACACAATGCTTGTTCCAGGGCTTCTGGCCACAGGTCAGTAGACCTAAGCTGTGCTTAAGGATTTTCTCTTCTCATAGTGTCTCCCTGGACTTCCTTTCTCTGCTGTTGCTGACGGTACTCTTTGGAGATTGACAGGGGGATCTTTCCATTAAGCAAGAAGCCATTACACCTACCTGAACTTTGGCAATGATTTTTTGTTGTTCTGTTGTTGTTATTGTTGCTGCTTTGTGTACTTACTTTACCAACTGTAAAAGTGTGATGAGTTTGTCATGGAATCCAATGATTCTAGAATTCTAACTTTCTGAGTTCTTCGAAGTGACAATTTTAAGAATAGTTCAAACAGCTTATTTTTGACCAACCTATTTCCAGGCTCATTTTGGGCATGCCCAGTCACTGTTCTGTGGATGTGTTTATCCAGAGCCCTCCAGGGCCACTACGCCTATGGAACACAGGTAGAGTGATGGCTCCACTCAGGCTGTGAAGAGGTGTGAATATCGGAACCGCAGGAGCATTGGGTGTGGTAGCTTATATCAGTCAACCCGTCACATGGCACATTCCAGGGCCAGGACAAGAGGGAATCAGTTCAACACGGACAAGTACTAATATGGCTATAATTTTTTAATAGTATTTATTAAAGAACTCACCTAATAATATAACAATAATTTATTATAATTATTTTAATATAATTACTTGACTACAATGTCTCAATATGTTTAATTTGTTACCATTTAATAGAAATCTAGCTCAGGTTTTACTGCATAGTAAGTGTTCGATTAATGCTTATCAAGTGAGTACTACACTTTTGCTAAGCAGTTATTGACTCACCACAGAAGCCCTGTTATGTGGAAACTGTCACTATCCTCATTTTTACAGGAAGAAAATGACATCTAGAGGTTCCATAATTTGCCTGATTCATCTAGGTAGAAGTGGAACAGTGAGAATAGCAGGCATGGAGTTTCAATTCTATATCTGTACTTTTAATCTGTATGTCATCCTGTCTCCAGTCTCGTGGACTGTACCCCCAGGGAAGAACTGAGAAAGAAGCAAAAGAACTTGAAGGGTTTTCCTGGTCCTCTATAAGTTTGTAAATGACTTGTACAGTTTTTCTTTTTTGGGTTTTTTTTTTTGTTGTTGTTTTTCTCCGGTACCGGGAACCGAACTCATGACCTTACGCTTGCCAGGCAGGCGCTTTGCCGCTGAGCTAAATCCCCAGCCCCGACTTGTACAGTTTTTTAAAGTATACATACAAAAAAATTACTGCTAAGTGTACAGAAATAAATACTGCAAGAATTCAGAAAGAGGAAGTCTCCACTTTCAGGATTCTTGGTTGAGCATCAAAACACTTTGCAACCTGGCAAAGTTGTTCCATCCTCTGCCATCCCTCCTGCCATCTGCTGTAGAGCTGTGGATGAAGACTTCATTTTCAGGCTTTGGTCTGACTGTTCCCTCTGCCCAAAATGAAACTGCGGTCATTCCTGAATAATTGACTCATGTGTCACTTCCTCTCAGAGGCCTTTCCCAGCATTTGCAGCTCCCACACCCTCACCCCAGGCTGAATTAATCACCCTTCATCTGGTTTTCCCATAAACCTTTGTTCATAAAGATAGTCAACTCTTCATTATCCTCTCTTACAGTGAGAGTCTTGGCTTATACTCTGAACCCCTTAAATACAGGGACCATGACTTGTAGAACAGTAAGAGGTAAAGATTAAATCTGTATCCTTGGAGAACTGTGAGAACTTTGGCCCTACCATGTCAAAGAGCAGGTTTGAGAAGTAGAAGATAAAACTGAAAAGTTAGGGATCTAATGTTAAAGAACAGAAGATGCCATATTAAGGCTTTAGATTGAGAAGCTCCTGGCTACTCTTCCTTACAAAGCATGTTAACGCTCATGTGGAGGAAGAGAAGAATTTCAGTACAATGAGATAGAAAATGAAATTGACACTTGAAACTCTTCCTCTGAATGCCTCCACCCCACCAAAAAAAGAAAAATGATGGACTTGACTTAAAAATGAAGTAAAATTGTTTGGGAATTTTAAAGGAAACCAAAACCATAATTTTACTCCTTTGCCTCCAAACTGGTTTTTTCCTCGCATAATTTACAAGTTACTTTAAAAAAATACTATTAATTGACTTTTAGATGAAAGTGCTACAGAATGCTAATGTCATACAAATCTAACATTTATGATAAACTTGCAAAGCCAATATTATTATCTCTACCTTAAAGAAGAGGAAGTATAGATCAGGCAATTTCTCCAGGTCACACAGCTAATGATTGCCAGAACTATGTTTTGAACCCAGGTCCCCGTGTGTGCAAAGCATGTTTTCTATAAAGCAATAGTGGAAAAAATGATATGGTACTGGAGCAAAAATAGACACATGGATCAATGGAACAGAACTGAGGATACAGAAACCTCAGCAGACATATTCAATGATCTGATCTTTGACAAAGAGGCCAAAAGCATGTGTTGGAGGAAAGATAGCCTGTTCCATAAGTAGAAGGGGAAGGGGAAAAAATTATAATATGTATAGGCAACCACTCCCAAGATGATTGTAAACTGTATGGATTCCAAATATGTACTAATAAAATTGAAAAAAGCATGTTTTCTAATAGGTCATCATAAAGCACACATGGATGATAAACATGGTATCCACATCAATTTAACCCAAGTGGAAATCCACAGTAAGTTGGAAAATCCAAGCTAATTCATAACAAAAATAATAGCATCCTTCTGTGAGGAGCAGGGTGGGACCGCACCTGAAGATTAAGATAATGAGGTACCAATTGCTAATGCATCATTACCTAAGATCGATCTGTGATGTAAGATGCTGATAGGCGATGCGAAGAAGCAGGTAGGTGTGAGGGAGGTATTAGATTTAAGATTTTCAGGTGCTTTCTCAGCACTGACACATTCCAATAAAATGTAGACAGAATAATCCTCTCAATAAGCAACAGGTAAAGATCTATTCCACATGACAAGAAAGCAATACATAGTTAAAGGCGTTTAAACAAAATTCACTCAATTCCAAAGTAAGTTATAAGGCTATTAATTCTTCCAAGTGGTGCAATGGTATAGAATGCTCCATCATAAATAATCCAGTTGGGTCAGGAGAGCCAGTTTGATAAGCCAACTGATTATCTAACCATCAAGCCATGTGAGTATGAGAACTTCAAGGTGATTTGCAACCTTCCAAAGAATTACTCACCTACTCACCCAGGGTGAGTAATAATTTACTTGGGAAACTGGCAGAGTATATCGAATTAGTTAATATTACTATATGTGTTGCAGAAATCTTGTGGAGACAAGAAATAATGAAAGCCCAAAAATTTGACACTTTTAGCCAATCTATTAAAATTATAGGAAAGATTTGAGGTAGAGTATTAAGAAAGACTATTTCTTCCCTTTTTAAATGCAAATCTTAATTCATTTTAGATGAAAAATGTCATTTTTTAGTCTCAACTTACATTTTGAGCCCATGAAATGCAAAGCAGCTCAAAATATGAATCTATATATTTATCTAATATTATTCATTTTTTAATTTAAAAAATACAACAAACTGATTTCTACATGTGTTTTAGTCTTTGTTAACTGTCCTCTTTCCAGAGCAATTTAAAAAAGAATTTTATAAATATAAAAGATTTCTAGATTTAAGTGTCAGCATGAATTTTCTTGAACCCAACAGAAACTATCTTAGAAAATAGGAGCTTTGTTAGATGAGCTAAAAAATTAACTTCCCTAGCATTTTTTTAAAAGTCTGGCGTCACTATAGGAAAAATGTCACCTAGTTATTTGTCTCCTTCAACCTGAGCAACAGTTTTCTGCATATGTTCCATATGCGGCTATTACTGAATTATTTTGAAAGATAAAATAAGGAGCATGCAAAATTGATCAAACAGTATAAGCACTAACTGTTCCTTTTAATGAATAAATAGAAATTAGTAGTATAATTATCTTAGCTAACTTGTGTGTATATATATTATTTTTTCCCTTCTCCTTCTTTTCTTCTTTCCCCCATCCCAGTTGTTCTCTCCTTTTGAGCATTTTTTCCCTTTCACAATACTTATTGTACCTTTTGGATCTTAGGGAGTGTAGACTGATATAATCA